CACTGTGGTCGGTGCTAGCCGGATGCGGAATTCGTATAGATCAGCCATCTCTGGGATTCGAACCCGGTTCACCACATTGGAAGGCGAACACTCTATCGACTGAGCCATCGCGGCTCTAGTATGTAATTTGTAATCATGAATGCTATATGTGCGATGTCTCAGGGGATAGAGCTTTCGTCTTCCAATGAGGTGATGCGGGTTCGAATCCCGGCGATGGCTGGTCGAATTCACATCCGGTTTGCACCAACCACAGTGCTGATGTGAAATAGCCTCAGTGGTAGATGGATAATGGTTTAGAGTCCCTTTGCCGTAAGGCTGACCGATGGGTGGTTTCCATGGTCGTCCCTCCTTATAACGCAAATACGGGTTAGTTCCGTCAAAAAGTCCTCAACGAAGACAAATTTCTGCAATGCTTGATCCAGGAGTTCTGGATTGGATTCAAAATTACAAGGCGATGTAGTTGAAACATTAGTAGTCGTAAACCCGAAAATTGGGTCGGCTGTTCAACGACGGTTATAAAATAAAATAAAATATCAAAAGATACCCCAAGATTGAAACGAGTTAGCATGTCTAATATATAAATGAAATTATTGAATTAATAAAAATTCATTTTTTTGTTTAATTTGAATTTTGAATTGATAATATTAAACCGAACCGAAGCCACATAGCGGTTTGCATAAATTTTAAAACTCTGCTTTAAGTTCTTTTTACTGGAATATTACTGATACTTTCTAAACTAAACAATATAATTAATAATTTATGGCTTATTTATTTGAATGCATTTTAAGACAGGAATTTCAATATCTGAATAATTGAAAACAGAGTGCCTAGCCAGATTTTTCAACAGAAAATAAGCACATTTTAAGTACTTTTTGAGCACTCAAAAAATATTTTTTGCACTTTCCAAAAACAAAAAAAAATCGTAATAAGGATCTGTGCAGTAATAAAAATTATTTTTTTCTATAGTTAAAAGTTCTTAATTTATAAACATAAAATCAATAAAATTGAAAAACATCTCAAACTTTTCATAGATAAAATAACTAGTTTCTAAAAAATATTGCAGGGAAAATTGTGAAAATAATGCTTTTTTTTTTTACAATTTAGAACGACAATCCATACGACAAAGAAAAAATCTCTTTTTAAAAGATAGAAAATTAAGTGTTTTTTACAAACACCGAATTGAAAAAGCACCTTTAAGCACTTTTTTAAAATGCTACGCATCTTGGAAAAAGAGACGTAATTATTTATTATTTTGAAGACATGCAAATATCTACATGACGCTCAAAATGTAGGTTCGAAATTTCTAAAATATTCTTGATACTGTGTAAACTGAACTGTATCATTAATAGTTGGTGTAGCGTATAAAAATTTAATAAGTCATGCATTTCAATAGCAAATTGGATATAATTAAAAATTCCTCTCATATAATCGCATCATTGTGATATCGATATCGACTTCGTTTCACATAGTCTTGTAAGGAAATATTTTCCATACATAAATAAACTGTCATTTATCTGTTAAATTTCTATCAGCTCATAAAAAAAAATAAATGCAAGCAGTGTCAGCTGTAAGCATACTTCGTGTTTATCTTGATAAACGCACTTTGAACTCGGTGATAACTTTTTCCTCTTCTTCTTCTCTTTGCTGACATAATGTTTTAATTTTCTTGTGCAAGATTGGAAGAAGGTATTAGTAGCGGAAATTTGCCTCTACATTAACTGATAAAACTGAAAGAGCTCTTCGATAATTTTTACGAAGAGAACTTGATCCTGCGATTGCGATCTCTGATAATTCAGCCACCAAACTGTCAAAAAAGTATTAAGTTACGTTTACAAAAGTATAACATGGCTGCTAACTTAATAGATTATGTCGGTTGCGTTATTTAAAGCAACCGGCTATTTTATAACCGTATTTGTAACCGTCGTTGAACAGCCGACCCAATTTTTTGGGTTTACGACAACCAATGTTCAGCTCCGTAGCCTTGTAGTTTTGAAACCAATCCAGAGAAGTCCTGGATCAAATAGTGGGAGAAATTCGCTTTCGTGAAGGACTTTTTGATGGAGCTAACCCCCATTTGCCTTACATGGGGAGGAAAACCACGAAAACTTTCCACTGTTAGCCTGACGGCAAGGGGACTCTAAACCCACAATCCGTTAACCACTGAGGATATTTTCACGTCAGCACTGTGGTCGGTGCGAGCCGGGTGCGGAGTTTTTTTTGACCAGCTAACGCTGGGATTCGAAACCGGTTCACGTAATTGGAAGACGAACGCTCTATCCCCTGAACTACCACGGCTTAATAATGCATTTTAGTGAATAATACGCACATTTTATAATAACAGTATTATAAAGTAATTTATAAGTACAGCACAGTACTGAGTGCCAATTATCGGATTTAATGTAGACCACGACTAACCGAAAAACTCGGTTAAAGCGAAAAGTATAAAAAGGAAAGAAAAAGAGTCGGTATAAATGTAATATATTTACAAATACAAAATTTATACGAGTACACGACGTACAATTCATATTATAATTAAAAAGCTTACATAAAGAAGTTCTTAATCTTTTTTTGTTCTGCATTATTTGGCGCTTTTCTACACCAATGTTTCGCCATTTTTTTAGTGATAACAGGAATGATGACGTCGCCTCTCCTTATTGTTCAATATATTCAATAGCACTTTCGGTATTTTTTACTCCATCAGTATGAGAGATTTTTTATGTTGATTTTCATCCTTACTGTCTTCATCATCTTCACTAGGTTTATTTTCACCATTGACGATAATAACGATAATTTCATCGTTAATCTCGTGTTGTCCGTCAGCTTGCTTTCCTGACTGTTTAGAAGATAAAATTCAGGATAAAATTCAGGCGGTAATTTTACATGGTGCGTAGCGTTTTTAAAAAGTGCTTAAGGGTGCTTATTTTTGATCTTCGTTTTTTAAAAAGCCTTTAAAGGTGCTTTTTTCATAGTGTGTTTTTAAAAAGTGCTTTATTTAATTTTTCGAAAATGAGAATTTTTTCTTCATCATGTCGATTTTCGCTGCGTATTATGCAAAAGCTTGGTTTTCACATTGTTTGATGAAATACTTGCGAGTCCGCATGTGTGTCTGCTGAGCAGGGTTCGTTGAGATTTTTGCACTCTCATATGCAACTCTGCTGCATTTTGCAAGATATTCTTAATTTCAGGCTTCCTTTTTCCACCCTCTGATATCGAACCGAAAAATCTCTTAATCTTTTTATGGTGGAATTAAGAAAATAAATAATGAAGAAAATAAATAATCAGAAACTAGTTATTTTATCATGATCATGTAAAATTTAAAAAATTATTTTGCATTTTGTTAATGTATATGGTGCTTAAAAATATTTTTTGAGTACTTAAAAGGTGCTTATTTTTTGTTGAACGATTTGGCTACGCACCCTGTTTTAAAAATAAAAAATAAGCTAAAGCAGAAAAACGAAAATCCTTGAACTATTTGACAGCTCGGTTAAAGCGAAAACAGTGATAATCGGGACTCAACTGTATTGTGAGATAACAGTTATTCGTGACTGTTAGGTTGAGTTTTGTCCCTCTTTAGCAAGCGCTTTTTATGTTAATTACCTACTAGTGCCAATTTGCTCAGATTTACTAGAATATTTAGAGTGGTGTTAATTATTTTAATTTAACATTTTATTGGAGATGTAATAAATTTACTTTGCAATGATTTTTTTCGCCAGTACATACAAACAACTTAAACATACATATAAAACCTAATAATTGTGCTGCGAACTTTTTAAATGTAGGCAATATGAAAAAAATTTATTTTACCTTAAATTTTTATTTGTCTACCTTTTTATGTATTCTGGGAAGGCAGGGACTTACGGGGCAGTTGCCCCGTCCCCCCAAATCGAATAGTAAGTTTATTTTAAGTTTCCTTCTTAAATGATTTTTTTTTTAAACAAAATATGAGTACAGTGTAAAATCCGTCAGTTTTATGTTAACTTCTTCATTAGTCTATCGTATGAACATAATATATAATTCGTAAATCCATGGCTTTTTAGGGCGGAATTCAGCAAAATTTTCGTAATTACGGTGGACAAATTTGGCTGATCAAAAGCCTGTATTTTTACATGTCGCAGAATGCGATATGTTTACAAAAATACGGGCTTCTAATTGAGCCATCTTAATTGCGAAAATGTGGCTGAATTCCGCCCTAATGTCAACAAGGATATGGATTTTTCGCAGATAGATGACAAAGTTAATAATCAGAAAACTGCATTCGGCATGATGGACATAGAATTGTCAGAAAATCATTAAAATGGACAGAGCGATATTTCGTATGACCATTGGAGGGGGGGGGGCACTGTATAGCTATATTTGTTTCTGGTGAATTTTTTTGTTATCTATAATGAGGTGAAAAATTTAAATACCTCCCTAAAGTTCGGTTCGTTATTACTGAAGTAGTGAAGGAAAGAAGTTTTTTGCCTCGGGCCCCAATTAGGCAAAGTCGGGCCCTGGCTATGTATAAATGTATAAAACGGCGTTGACAGCTCTTTCGTCAAGGAGAACAAAACGTTGTAATTTAAGTTTTACACATGAGGCAATTTTAAACTATACATACCATGTTGCCTTACAGAATTATCAGGAACAAGCAAATAATTAATACATTCTAAAAGTTAGGAAAGTTTTTTTTTTTTTAAAATTGCCAATTTGGCGAGATTTTTTTCACCTAGCTGATAATTATCAAAGATTATAATTATTTATATACATTTTCTGAAAAAAAAATATTTCTTCATTTTTGATAAAGATTCTAAAACTGACGTTAATCAGGCTCTTTGTCTAGGCTTCATAGACTCTTTGTTTCGATGTAAATATTATATATTCAAGTATAGTATTTATTGAAAGATTGTTGCAATAACAATAGCTTGGTTAATCTACATGTCTTATTAAGTTATTCTGATTAACACATGTTTTTTTTTATACTTAATGTGGCTCTACATGTTGTCTTTTTTGTCTTTTCGCAGCGGTGCAGAGGGGGCGGGTCCCCCCTAGCCAGCATGCCCTTCCTGGACAGATGACCTTGACCAACGGTGATGCACTCAATGGTACACCTAATTCTTATCTATCAAGTTTCATCTCATTCCTGTTACGGGCAGAGCCTTACCCATCCTCAAGATACGCCCAGTGTCTACAGCCCAACAACATAATGGGCATTGACAACATATGTGAACTTGCAGCTAGGCTGCTCTTCAGTGCCGTGGAATGGGCTAGGAACATTCCTTATTTTCCTGACCTTCAAGTGACCGACCAGGTGGCGCTGCTGAGGTTGGTCTGGAGTGAACTTTTTGTATTAAATGCCTCCCAATGTTCCATGCCCCTGCATGTAGCGCCCCTGCTTGCGGCTGCGGGGTTACATGCCTCCCCCATGGCCGCGGACCGTGTTGTGGCCTTCATGGACCACATTAGAATCTTTCAAGAACAAGTGGAAAAACTGAAAGCGCTGCATGTAGATGCAGCGGAATACAGCTGCCTCAAAGCCATTGTTCTCTTCACAACAGGTAGGCTCAACTCTCTTTTTAAAACAACACTGCCGTTCAATAAAAAAAAAAACAACGTAAGTCGTTACGTTGTTTTTTTAATTGCTCGGAGGAATACATTTTAATATTGTCTGTTCGGCGAGAACTAATAGTGTAAATAAGCATATATCCATGGTGCGTAGCATATTTAAAGGTGCTTATCTTCGATTTTCATTTTTTAAAAGCCCTTATAGGTGTTATTAAAAAGTGCTTAATTTTCCCTTTCCGAAAATCAGATTTTTTTTCTTTACTGTGTCGATTTCGTTGCATTTATGCAAAAGCGTGGTTTTCCCATTGTTCTATTCAACGTTTTCACAATTCATTCAACCACAATCCATTTTGTCGTAACGTCAGTCCGTAACGTATGACAGCACCAGTCATATTACATATTTGATGTACTTGGGAGTCCGCTTGTGTGTCGACTGAGCTGGATTCGGTGCGATTCTTGCACTCTCATGTGCAGTTCTGCTGCGTTTTGCAAGATGTTCTCAATTGTAGGCTTCATTTTCCACCCTCTAAAATCGAACCGAAAATCTCTCGATTTTTTTATGGTGGCTAATATAATTAAGAAAAAGAGTTCTTTGTCAAAAACTATTTATTTTATCATGATCATGTAAAGTCTTAGAAAATTATTTTGCATTTTGTTAATGTATATAGCGCTTAAAAATATTTTTGAGTGCTTAAAAAGTACTTTAAAGGTGATTGATTGTTGAAAGATTTGGCTACGCACCTTATATCTGTCGTTTCCTCGCTCAGTCGGCGGTTCTTTTCATACATGCCGTTGGTCAGATTTGCACCGCTTGTTATAATTTTGGCGCCAAGCAGCCAAAGGTTATGCCAACTGTTTGGTGGCTTCGTTTACTTAGGCTGCCAGTTATCGCTGAACAGAGTATAAAAAGTAATGCAAGTCGTCAATCTTGAAACATTGCCAACTTTTTAAAAATTCATATCTCTGTTTAGCATGAATAGTCTCCGTTGAAAAAAAATGATAAAATTCAGTTATAAAATGAATTTTGTTATAATATAAAAATTTGCTAAGATAAAATTCCTGGAGCTACATCAGAAAAATCAAACTTACATCAATGCAATTCATGCTATTTTCGCTTCCAAGATACTAAACTATAAAGGCCAAGCCATTGACATTGAAATTCGCGTGATTGTTGTTGAAAATTCCTAGGCTTTCTACAAAAACCTATCATTTGACGATGGAATATACTCAATGGTTGCTTAAAAAACGTTCTTTTACCATTGATATTTGTACTTTTAACTTTAAAAAAAACCATAAAGACCAAATCGTATGCAATGAGATTGTTCAACCCACGCTCAAACACTCTGAAGACACTTTGAAAACCAAATCCTTTTTAAATCTTACAATTTTTACTGAAGACACCATGAGCTAATGATAACTAATTCAAACCAATGTCTCACAAATTCTTCTAATCCACAAATTTACAGATGAAATTTTTAAAGGTCAAATATATGAAATCTTGCAACTTTTACTTTAAGACCAAATCTCTTCTAATGCCAACTTTTGCATAAAGGTTAATTCTTTGCCAGCTGAAATTTGGTGTCCATAGTAAAACAATTAATTTAAAGAACTATAGCCTTTTGAATTTATATTGCATTTAATTTTTATAATTATCATTTTCTTCCTCTGCTTACACGCGGTTCTAATTAGAGAATAAACCTGTACAGGTCCCCTCCCCCTCGATTTAAACATTCAGTCGATGAATAATGGAGAAGTTAAGTCTATAAGCATTTGATGAAGTAGTTTAAAAAAATTATCTCCCCAAAAAGTTAAAAAAAAGAGTAAAAAAGAATTGATCCTGTTGATTATTATTCGTTCGTATTGTTTCTTGACATTGACGATGATAAATAAACGCCTTCTTAACTTTTTCCCTCTTCTTTCCAATTCTGTAAAGTGAAGGATTTTTATTAAATGGAGAAAAGGGGTGTGAAATAAATAAAAAAAACGAAAAAAGTGATAAAATTCGAAAAAAAAAAGAATAAAATAAAGTCAGATATCACAAATTCCTGTTACCCCCTTCCGAAATAAAAATGTTCTTCACCAAAAAGTCATAAATATTCCCTCTTTAACATCTTCTCTTGGGGAGGGGGGGAGAAGCAAGAAAAAGGAGTTAGGAATTTTGCATATGACGCATCACTTGATGACATCAAAAAGTGGGGTGGGGAGTGTCACTGGTGGGGCATCCACTTCGACATCAGTACCCCATCCATCCTGTTACAGATTAGGAACTACTCGTACGGGAAGATATCAGGATAAAAAAAAAAATTGAAAGAATTTATGTAGATGCGTTCTAGAAGAATCTTAGAGAGGACTTTTAATAATGAATTTGGCTTCACTATTTCTTCTCTCGCTTGGCAGTTAAGGAGCAAGACATTTTCACAAGTGTCGGCTCGAGTTCTTCGTTTGGCAATAATTCGAATTTTAATAAACTTATTTCTTTGATGATGTTCTTTGTTCTTTTCGGCTTCTTGAAATCGATTGTTGTCGAACTCGGCATCCGAATTTTAGGAATCGCTCCGCGATCCTTTTGTAAAACTGTCCAGATCACTTTGATTTCAATTTTTTCATCATTTAATTTCGCGTGGCAATAATTTGAATTTTAATAGGTTTATTTTTTTTAATTATGTTTTTTGTTTTATGCTACTTGGAATATATTGTTCTAGAATGTGCCTGCTGATTTTCTATCGATCAACGAACTAATCACTTTGCTTTTAATATTTCCTACATTCTTTGCGAGTTGGTATAGATTATGTAAATCATGTTAAACTTACCTAAGAACAGCATAATTTGGTGGATGTCATATAGTTGTTGAATGCAATTTCTTTTTTTTCTTTTTTTTTATCGTTTTGGCAGTTACGGAGCAATACATCGCAAGTGTCGGCTCGAGATAATGTTCTTTGTTCAATGCAATTTGGAATTAATTATTGTTAGAGTACTGTAGTTAGATTGCCACCACAATTCTTTCGTAAATTGTAATCATCATTTTTTACTAGCTCTTGTGATTAGTAATCGCTTGGCATTAATTTGAATTTTATTAAATTCGTTTTTATGACGATTTTTTTCATGTTTTCCACAACTTGAAATCAATTGTTTCAGAATGTGTCAATCAATTTTTCATCGATCTTAGGTAATCAAAGTAGACTAGGTTACTTCGCTTAAATTTTTTGATTGCAAATTTGACTTATTTTTAAATTAAATAACATGTTCTTCCAAAAAGCCCTTCAATCACTATATTTAGTATTAAAATAAATTATTTTAAAATTTAGCAAAATAAATTATGGTTCTACATTTAAAGCTCAGCAACTGATCATAAATTGCTATTTAAACTTAAAATTCGTTTGTTTTAAACTGTTCACTTGACACGCTCTTTTAATCTAAGATTTTCAATGATGAAATTAAAGAAAAAAAGTTATTGTAGCAGGCCCCTTGGCTGAATTACAGCGACACAGAGACATTGTCGCAGAACGTTTCAGAGTTCTTGCAGAAAGATTTTACTTTTGAAAAGTAAAAAATTTTAGTTTTCTTTTCTACAGAAATTTATACGTAAAATTTGAATCGCGCATGTAGATAATCACTTTTTGGAGAGCTCAATTTACACCGATAGTATCGTCAATCGATATAATACTTTGATTGTATTTTCGGCAGTTATTGATATTGATTTTCACGTGGTTTTTAAATATCGCGATTTGTTTCAAACAATGTGGAAAATTCGAATCGTGCATTTAAGTATTTATTTTTTAAGGTAATAATTCTATCGATTTTTTGGCAGTTATTGTTATTGATTTCTCCATAGTTTTTAAATCCGATATTTTTTGTACGATATTACAACAACCCATTCTCCAAACGAAACACGCATTTGAGAAGTCCGATTCGCTCGATTTCGTCGTCAATATTTTTTCGGCAATTACTTCTACGGATTTCATGATTTTTAATTATTTTTTTATTGTGATGATTATTTACAAAATGCGAAGTGTATATATATTAAAAGTATCTTGCCGATGGATATTAGTGCTAGAGAGCTTTGTCGCAGATGGATCGAAAAAATTTTACAACAGGGGTTAACAAGGAGCTGAGCTTTCGTCTTTAAAACATAAATTGAACACCCCAGTTATAGTTTTCCATTCGAACATTTAAATTGAGATAATCCAAGCTTTCTGTAGACGCTTGAGGGCCCAATTCGTGTGGCCACTGTCCTCATAAATAAAACAATCCGACAAAGTCAATTAAATTCAAAGAGATGAAATGAATTCAAAATTTTTGAGGGAAACGCAGACTATCCCACGTTAGAAATTTCTCATTGCTTGCAAAAGCAGCGAGGCGTGTCTAATGTTGATAATGGTTAGGCCTAGGCTTGGAATATATATGGAGAAGAAAAAGAAAAAAAAACCTGCCGACTTGACCCGGGTCGACGTAATGGTCTGTGACTGAAGAGAGTTGCTTCTTCAAAATGTTCCATTCTGGAATATCGAACTCTTCGCTGTGTCAGAAGTGCCAGTGACAGTTCACTGCGTACAACTCATTATGGGTGTTTAGCGTATTAAGGACACAGAAATAGAAATAAGAATTACTAATTCTTCTGCATGCCATGATTCAATTAGACCTCAGCTTTTGATACCTGTTCTTCTTTCACTTTTCTGTTCTTCCTACGCTATCTACTTCTGGAGAAGAGTTGTTCTTAATTGGGCTTTTCTTTGAGATGATAAAGTAATTAGTGTCTGAATACTCTAGGATAAATTGTATCGGGAGGCTGAGTTCGTTTCCTTTGGTTTATGATTAGGTATTGCTCGGAATTGAATTTATTTAGTTATAAAATGACACTCATAGAGCAGAATTATTCTAGAACAAGACTTTTTTCTTTCTTTTTATAACTGTCATTAAACACCCGTCCTAATTTTGAGCTTACGTCTACCACTGTTCAGTCCGTAGCTTTGTAATTTTGAATCCAATCCAGAAG